TGTATGCATAATAAACAACTTGTTTACAACCTATTCCAATTACAAATGTTATGAAACAAATTGTGTTGGAAGTTGGTTAACAATGACAAAATCATTCCAAGCGAGAAGTATTAATTTATACAATATTGCTATTAAGGGAAAACTACTTGAATCATACGGTTTCAACTACTTTTTCCTGATAAATCCTTTACATTTTTAATAATATTTATATTGTTTTAGAAACCAGACTATTCAAATTTGAAAATATTTCTATATCTGGTGGACCTTTGCTATTTAGCTATGAATATTCTCTACTGCAAGATGGTAAAGTTACTTTCACTAGTACAGAATTTGTAGATGGAAATTATGATAAGCCATTTATTAGAATTGATTGTAAGGCAACTCTTTATGCAAAAAGTGTTCTAATTGGAAAGAAGGATAATGGTAATAAATATTTTTTAAAATAGATTGAAAAATATATGACAATAATTTTCAATTTTTTTAATATAAAAATAGATAGAAAATCTTTTAAAAATGTTTTAGTAAGCTTTGAAAAATTACCAGAAACAATAAAACCAGCTGAAAATCAATCAATAATTGGTAGAATTTTGGATAATATTAATAATGAGAATTTCAATAAATTCTACTATCTTGAAAGTGAAAATTACATTGTTGGAAGATATTTAAGAATTCAAATGTTTCAGTCTTTTTCTACTCAGTTACAATTAGAAATTACAGAACTTTTTATGTATATCAAACAATTCAGTTTGAATACTCAAATTATAAACAATTATGAAAGGCATACAGATCTTTACACACCAAATGTAATACTAAATAGTTTTTTACTATTTGATCAATTATATTGGAAACTTTCACCATCTCATTCTATTCTGATAGGCTTTCATGTTGGATTATCATTGCCTATTAAAACTATTAATGCATCTGCAATATGCTTAACTTGTTAATATTTTTTTTTCAATTATCTTTACTCGTTTAAAATGTCTTTTTCTTTCTTTGCATAGTTTTTTCAGTCGGATTTCGAGCTGATTCGCCTGTAAAGGTCAAAATGTTTAGAAATAACAAGCTGGTATTTGAATACTTTGTTGAAAGTATTTACGGATTTCAGCAGACAATCTGCAATACATTTCAGGAAAGAGAATTTAACTTTATCAGTTTTTTAAATCTATCACCTTTTCCACTGGGTTTAAGTGAATTGGATTGTTTTTACCTCAGCAATAAAAGTAACCATTTAATAGAATCTGAAAATTCTGAAGGTATAAATTGTAAATGTAAATTTCTTTTCATTTATCAAACTGTTTTCTCATGACATTCACAATCATTCATCTACACATTCAATTTGATAGCTTTATATTCAAAACACATTATGAAAATTCATATAAAATATATACCTCAATCTGAGTAGCTCTTCTTTGCTTTTAAACATATATCAAAAAATGAAGACATGATTCATCAAACAATTCTTTTGTTGAATATTGTTTTCTTAATCTTAGTCAGCTTAAATTGTGTGCTAATATTCCATCTAATATTCTTCAAAAGCCAACAGTATCAAAAATATCATTCTGTTTCTCTTACCAGTTTCAATGAATTTCCTACATTGGTCAAAGGCTTACAAAGTTCAAATGTAACCATCTCATAATTCGCATGTAACAAAAATATGAAAGGTTCTTATATCACATATAGAAAATATAATCTTCAGATTAAGCCCACATGTTACCAAAAGAAGCCTGCCTCATCTGGTATTGAATAGAATGTAACAACTTTGACATGCATCTTTTCTATGTTTTAAATATCAGTAATCTAAGCATTTTTCTTTACTGTTTGCTTTTTTATATCTTTTCAATGTCTATACAATTTGATCAAAAATGTAATCATATATATAAATCTATAACCAAGCCATTCATTCAAAAATTCAATAATAAAATAAATGATAAAATAGTGTGAATGTACCTGGTAGAAATAAAAGGTATATCTAAAGTCTAAATATCAATGTGTCATTATATTGTACTGCTCAAGATCATCTTGATTTGGCAGTGGATTTGATCATCTTGATTTGGCCACACCCTAGGCAAGTTAATTAAATTATAACTTGGCCAAACCTTATTGGTAATTAAAGATAAGCCTTGAAGCTGACTAATCAGACTTATGTTTGGCCAATGTTATAGCATTTTCTTGCATAGGTTTTAAGATGTACATGTATAAGTTGCATCAAATAATAGAGTTCAAGCATGTAAAATATGACCAAAGTTGTACAATATGTAAGTGTAGAGAAGTCATCTAATGATTGTCAAATCTCTGCTATTTTATGTTTAATAATAGGATGTTCAAAATAGCTTTTCAGATAGCTGCTTAGAAACCCATTAAACCTAATATGATACATTGTAGGCTTTCTTCTTTAATGTCAAATAAAAAACATACAGAGGACTTGTTTGTTTCTCATATTTTTTAAAATTGAAAGGAGGAAAAAGGATGCTTTCAAAAGACTGCTTTACAATTTTTAACATTTTATTTCATAATAACTTCTTCCTAATGTAAACTACAACTCACTGTTTCAACAATGGAACCAAAATATGCATCAACAGAAGAGTCTAAATAGTTAAGTAGCCTCGAATTGAAATGATCACTATTTATATTATGAACAATTTCATTCCAAAGTCAGACCCAAATGCATTTGATTCCAAATTCAGTTGTTTCAAATGAGGATTACAACCAATAGCCTCTCCAACAATAGAACCAATATTGCCATCAAATGAACAATTTGATAGATAAAGTGATTTCAAATTCTTACAATGATCTTTTATATTTTGAAAAATTTCTCTTCCAACTTCAGATCCCAGTGCATTTTCTTGCAAATTCAGTTCTTCCAAATGAGTATTACAACCAATAGCTTCTCCAATAATAGAACCAGTGTAGCCATTAAGAGAACAATTGACCAAAATGTCAATGGTCTTTTCAAAGATATCTTCTTCAAAAATTTTTTCATTTATTTTAAATATTTGAATTGATATATTCAGTTTTCTTAAAATTTCTAGTTTAGTACAAAATCCAATCTTCTTGCATTGATCAAAAAGTAGTGCATTATATTGAAAATAATCATTTAAGTCACTTAAAACATCCTGGATCAACGAAAAATTGAAGTATTTAGAATTAAGTTGTTCATCTAGACATTGATCATGCAATTGAATTTTTCTGTCATCTAAATCAATGGAGTTGAATATTTGTAAATTTGAAATTTGATTCACTTGTTTGGCTATCTCAATCATACTCTCTACATTCAAACCACAGCCATAAAAAGTATATTTGAGTTATCTTTCTCTTTTTCACTGTGGCAATTGTTTTGAAAAAATTAATTGCTTCACATTCCGGAAATTTATTTTCTGATAAATCTATAACTTCAAGTGAATTCATTACATTTAATTTTTTCGAAATACCAATCAAGACTTTTCGGCTCAAGTTGCATTTTTTTAAAAATAGTTCCCTTAAATTGTTCATTTGAAAGGTGTGAAATATTTGACATCCATTTTTTAATTGATTGTTTGAGAAGCTCAAAAGGCTATAGTTGTTAAAAGAAATTTTCACCAATAAAGAGTTTTTCTGTTAAGTTGCAATGGGATAGGTTGATTTTCATATCTGTTTTTGAAGATTGATTTAATTGGGATAGTATTTTAAGAGCATTTTTTTCAATTCTAGTATTTTCACTGATTGATAAGTCTGACAAATCTTGTAATTTGTTTAAACTGTTGCATAAATATTCAGTGGATTGATCAGATAAGCTACAATTTGTCAAATCCAACTGATTTAATTGAACTGACTTATCAATAACTTTTTGAAAGATATGAAATAAAATATCATTGCTAATGTCATTATTAAATGCAAGGGATTTCAAATTTACTTTTATTGCTTCATCACTCAAGTCTAATTTAGACTTGGAGAATTTTAGTTTTAGTAGTTTTAGTTTTTCTAGAGAGTGCATTGTGAAGAGATGTTTTATAAATTCACAATCTTTAGATTCTATTAAAGTATTTCCCTGCAACTCTAACACTCTCAAATATGAGCAATTCTGAAGTAATTTCACCAGTTTTTGTGAATAAAACTTTAACCTACAATGGTTAAGCTTTAATACTTCCAGAGTTTTAAGTTTATTTGTTATTACTAATATTAATTTTTCATCAGATTTATTTCTGAAATTTGAGTGGCAAAGGTCTAATTTAGTCAATTCTGAAAAATTTTTCAGAATATTTATCACTGAACAACTCTGAAAATTTAGTTGATCACACTCACAGAGATTTAATCTTTCAGCTTTGATGATAGAAAATTAAACAGCATTTCAGTGTTCTTTTCTGTAATGGTGTCCTCACCATCTATAACAGGATCTTCCTTTGGAATGTATTCTCAGTTTGGTTCACATTAGCAAAGGGGTTTACCTTGTATATAAAGAGAAGGCATGTTTTTGTTTCACCAGCCTATGCAGGAAGGTTGCTAATCCCTCTATCCAATTCCTAGTTAACCTAGTTAAAATGCCCTTGTTAAGTCTACAGTTTTCAAGAAAGCACTTTATAATGAACTGAACTGCACAACTGTTGTATTTTTTTATTTTACCTTTAATACTGGATCAGGGTTAGGTCAGGTTTAGGGACTTGCTAATCAAGTATTGATGGAACAAAAAACCTCCCAAATACACGATTTTACACTATCTATCCCTTCATTGCACACACACTGTAAGCTTGTTATGTCTTGGATTAATGTGGCTATTAGAAACAACTATCTTAGGTGGCAGTTCTTAGTCTAAGCTATCACTGTATCTTCAACATCATAAGTCCAAACTCTCTAAAAGTATAAAGAGAATTCTCCTCACTTAATGAAAATTTTCACAAAATTTTTTTGTATTATTATCTTTTAGTAAAAGAGAAGAAGTTATTTTTAATCAAATATCACAAAACTAAATATTGTTAAATACAAAAGAGTTTGAAAGAGAGAAATTATAATAATCATACAAATCAAAACTATTGGTTAGGAATGGCATTTTCAGAATCTTCCATAACTTTGTATAAATATTCTGATATTTTAAATGGTTTTAAAATATCATCAACATTAATCAGCCAACATTCTTCTTTGTTTCTTTCCACTTTTTTCCCTTTTATTAACTTGTTATCAATGTCAATTGAAATAGACTTTGATCCAATTTGCCCATCAGATTGAACTTCAGAGTGAAATTTATATTTCTTTTTCCCAATGTCACCAATAAGTCCATCCATTTCTTTATAATTCATAGGTGAAAGTTTAAAACTTGCATCCAAGTGAATTTCTGATATAGACTGGGTGGATTTTTGTATTTGAATTATTTTTCCTGGATGTACTACAGATTTTATAAAAATACGATTTTCAGTGATTAAATATTCAAATTTTTTTGACTTAAAAGAGATTTTTTCCATATCACCAGTCCAGTATATTAGTTGTCCAATGTCAAAAATGATATAATTAGTTAAGCAGTTATTCTACCAGAATCAAATTTGATAATAATCTTATGCATATAGTAATCATCATTAAGCTGCCCATAAATTTGTATTCCATTTAAACTAACGCCACCAATGTATAAATTTTCTTCAGGTGAGCCAGTGATATCATAACATGTAGAATTAGTTCTCTGACTGGGATAATCCACAACAATTTGTTGAAAATGGGATCACCTGATGCCAAAGACCATGGATCACTACTAGGTGTAAAATATATTGGAATATGAACACTGAATACAAAAGAGTCCACTGCAGCACAAGCTAGTTTCAACAATACTGACTTTGTAGAACCAACTTTAGTTACTACAACATTCTCTGAACCAAATTCAGAGAAAATCTTTGTGGTTTTATCTAAAGTTGCTTTTTCAGGATTAGAGAGGGTAAAACTAAAATGACATAGAACATTCGCATTAAGTCTCTAAGATTTTTTTGAGAAAGTAAATAATTCCATACCTAATAATAGAGTTTTTAAGTCAAAAGTAATTGCAGTGGATTCAGTTATATTCAGTTATAAAGCACTCGAATTATCTATAAAAAAAATAAAATATGTAGTTTAGCAAAGATTTCAAAATTACAAATGTTTTTTACAAACCAAAGATGCTAAGAAATCCTAATAACAAAATAAAGAATACCAATTTGCTTCCCATTTTCCTTCTATTTCTCTGTCTTGGAATGTACAATATATATATATCTATACTGTATGTCATTTATAGTTTATGTTGAACAGAGACAGTTCTTTCTTTAGCAGGAGAAAAGCTTTTAAAGAAAATATTTATTGGAAACTGCCAAAAAAAATAATTATTTGTGCTATAGATTTTTTAATAACCAATTTTGTTATCTGTAAATTTAACATTAATTTAGCAAGTCTTCTTATAAAAGAGACACCTGTGTTTGCATACAGTGATTTATTGTCCTAGTGTAGATTCTTCCCCCTCTGTATAATTTATAATCTGGGCCTCTTCAAATTAACAAAGTATATAAAGAATAGTGAAAGGTTTGAAAATCTTGTCAAAAAATTCTCTTCGCATATATAATAGTTTTATGGAGCCAACAGAAAACGTTCACAAATGGACAGAAAATGTCCACGAATGAACAGTAAATGTTCACATAGCATTAAAAAAACAATTAACTAAGAAGAGATGATTACATCTGCTGTCCTCTTGCAGAAGATTGCATTAATCTATTCAAAATAATTCTCAGTGTGTTAACATACTTTTTACTTTATTCTAGTAACTTTTAAACTTTGTATAACATTCTTAGCTTTTTTCATTTTTAATACATTTTAATAAACATATATTCATTATTAATTATTATATTCTCAGTATATTGCCATTGGTTCCCAAAATAGAGCAAGCTTTTTTAAAATTCAAATATCTTTTCCCACTACTTGTTTTCCCCAACCTTGGGATGTTTTTTCCTAACCTGGGACTTTTTTCCCAGGGACGTTTTTTCCCATACTCCTTTGAATAACATATACAGAGAAATGCTAATGCCATCTGTATAATAACTATGATTGAGTTGGAACAATTGAAACAAAACATTCTAATGATATATCATTAGGGTAAAAATACAAATAGCAGAGGGCTTAAACAGAAATCAATTGGAAAAACATAGTGGGGAACCCAATAAAAGGTTAATATTTTATCTAAATAATACAAAGGATGTCTCTGTTTTTTAACATAATGTTCCCAAGGTGAAATACAAACTAGACCACCAATTGTAAAGTGGTGATTGGATAATCAAGATAAACCAACAAGTATATAAACCCTTACTGTTTTACTCCAACTGTCTTACCTTACACTGGAAAGATCAACTGGAAACAACCCCTAATGGGACAAGCCTTCTACTCTTTCAATATTGGACACTAGTTTGGTAACTTGGAAACCTGCTATTAGAAACTATATACTCTGCTATTCAACTTTTTTATTGCTGCAACTTTAAGTATTTTATTTGAAATAAAGCATTTAAATTAGACATTAAGAGGAAATTTGGTTGAAACCGACCAAGACATTTGTTCATTTGTTCAATTGATTAAATTGCAATATGCACTGTAACTGGAACTGAAAATTTTTTATTAGAGTTAATATTATACATTGATATATAATCAACATATAACAAAATTTATAACAAACATTTTCCATGAAATCAATAGTTTTATTCCAACCTTAACAAGCCATTGTTCTATTGAGTAGTATTAGATACTGTCATTCCAATGAATATATTCTAAAGAAATATAAGTTTTCATTTATAAATTGAAAGTTTATTCACATAT